CACTGAGAAATTCCCATTGTGCTGGAAGCCTGCCTAGTCTCAACAAGCCCCACTCTTCGTGTACCTTTGCCTGCATTTTGCAAACCTAGCCCCACACCAATTTCCAGGTGCAAAGCTAGCCTCCTGGAATATAAAACTAGCTTTATCCATTTATCAGGTAGGAGAATAACTCACATAGGTTTTCAGTTGTGAGGCCAGTTTTCTGTCAGAGAGTGGGTTCTGCTTTTGCTGTGAGCCAGAGATGCCCAGCTTAAAGTGAGCACAACGGGAGAGACCCTAGCAGCCACTGACCCCAGCCCCCTTCTGTGGTTGGGCCTTGGCCCGCCCCCTGCAGGTGAAGGGCCAGCCTGGAATTCCACTGGGCCAACGCATGTGGGCAAAGCAATGGGCAGCAGAGTGGATGCCCTCCCATAAGCCCGTTTCCTTCTTTACAGAGGAGCAAGCCAAAGTACTGGAGGGTCTCCAACTCATTCTCGCCTCACCAGCCTCAGCCCAGAGCTGCCAGTCCCATGGAACCATCTTGAGTTCTGAGGTAGGGGCAGAGCCCTGAAGAGGGGACCTGAGGGTCCCATGCTTTCTGTTGCCCAGCTCTGTCCTGGCTAGGAAAGCACTCTGGCTTCCAGAGCTGCCAGGGCTGCAGCTGTCAGGGGGAACAGTCCCTTGTCTGGGGTCATAGGAGCCTGTGTGAGGCCTCAGTTTCTTATTCTGGGCATGGGGCTCTAGGATAGGATGCCAAGAATCCAACGTGGCTCCTGTGCTATTCCAGCTTGCTTGCCCCAAAGGTCTCTGCCCTGTCCTACAGATCCAAGCCTCAGCTTCAGGTCTCCTACTCCTCCAGCTACCCAGGCTGGGCCTGCGGCATGCATGGGAGAGTGTGCTGCAGGTAAGCCTTCATGCCTAGGCCTTTCATTTTCAAAATGGAAATGTCCAGTTTAACTATGCTTGGATGTTATGCTGGAAAGTGCTGGGTTTGCTTATCTGGTGGGTCTAGACTTTAGCTCTTCCTTTTTACCAGTTTAGTAGAAAAAACCAACTGCACACCCCTGCCTCCTCATTCTGGGGGCTGGAGGACCTGGTCAGGAAGGAGATTGCTGGATCCTGGCTTTCAGCAGCACACACAGTGACTTTTGACCCTTAGCTCAATACAATTCTGCAGAGGGAGGAAGTGGTGGGCCGATGGCCAAGAAGGCCATGGAGATTTGGCTAGTACTATTTCAACTGTGTTCCCCAAGAGCTGACTGCCCAGTGCCCATTCTTCTGCCTGTCAGGATGGAATGATTAGTGGGGTCAGGTCCTGCTGGCTTTCCTAGTGTCTGGGGTGGTTCCTTGGGCTTCACATTCCATCCTGGACAGCTTCCTGCTCTCTAGTCTGCAAATGGGCTGGGCACTGCTTGACTTTATGGACTTAAAGACAAGCCAGTTAACTGGTTTTATAGAAGAGAAAGAAGTGTTCATAGGATCAAGGCTTCTGGTTGGGAAAAAGCCAGAGAAAGGGGTAGAAATGTCATACAGAAGAGACACTCTTCCAGAAAAGTTTGATTTTTAGCTTATGTCACAAAATGCAACCTAGGCCCAAAAGTCATCTCTGGCCAAGTTTCATCATGATGTTTAGAAGAGTAGGATGAAGGTGACAATTTCTGCGAAGTCCTTATTTGGAGGGAGCCTCCTCCAAATCTCACATCTAGTCTTTCTCCTTTAATGGTGTCTCAGATTCTGTGTAACCAGAATTGTGTGATGCAGTGAGGGACAATGCATGCTGTGTGTCCAAACCACTCACTTTATATGAAGAGGCAGCAGCAGCCCTTAAAGAAGAGCAGCATGACCAAGGGCAACCATAAGGCATTGGGAGCATGATCATCCATGAAATAAAAGATCGGGGCTGCTGTCTATGAGTCCAGAAACATGGAGGATAAGCTCCATCATCAATGGAAGAAAGGTCCAGGATGCCCTGGCAGACCTATCTTTTTTTTTTAATATTTTATTTATTTATTCATGAGAGACACACAGAGACACAGGCGGAGGGAGAAGCAGGCTCCATGCAGGAAGCCTGACGTGGAACTTGATCCCGGGACTCCAGGATCATGCCCTGGGCTGAAGGCAGCGCTAAACCGCTGAGCCTCCTGGGCTGCCCAGACCTATCATTCTTGAGAATTCCTGGGGTTTATTTATTTAAAGATTTTATTGATTTATTTGAGAGTGTGAGAGAAAGAGAGCATGAGTAGGAGGTAGGGGTAGAGGAAGAGGGAGGAGCAGACTCCCCACTGAGCAGGGAGCCCAATGCGGGACTGGGTCCTGGAACCCTGGGATCATGACCTGAGTGAAGGCAGACACTTAACTGACTAAGCCACCCAGACACCCAATTCCTGGGGTTTATTTATTTTTTTAAGATTTTATTTATTTATTCATAACAGACACAGAGAGAGAGGCAGAGACACAGGCAGAGGGAGAAGCAGGCTCCATGCAGGGAGCCTGACTTTGGATTAGATCCCGGGACTCCAGGATCACGCCCTGGGGCTGAAGGCAGCCGCTCAACTGCTGAGCCACCCAGGCATCCCTCCTGGGGTTTAAACACAGTGTCAGGAACGTCCACGCCAGGTCATCAAAATTTGCTCAATGAATGAATAAATGGAGTCAGACCTAATTTCTGACATTCTAATTCAGAACCTAGATAATACTCCTCTAAATTCACAAGTGAGGGATGCCTGGATGGCTCAGGGGTTAAGCTCTGCTTTCAGCTCAGGGCGTGAGCCTGGAGTTCAGGGATGGAGTCCCACACTGGACTCCCTAAGGGGAGCCTGCTTCTCCCTCTGCCTATGTCTCTGCCTCTCTCTCTCTGTGTGTCTCTCATGAATAAATAAAAATCTTAAAGATTTATAAAAATAAAAAATAAAAAAATAAATTCACAAGTGATTATTATGTTCTTGGTCAACACCCTGCATTCTATCTGCATATCCCCAAATAATCAGGTAACAGTATCTGTGCCATGATCTGACGGGGCATTTGTCTACAGAGAGGATAGGTAAAGGAAGCCAAATTCATACTTGATGCCTTGTGAAACAAACACAGATCCTTAATCACAGTGTAAGTAAACTGTTTTAATTGTTGTTACAAAATGGATGCACTAAGATCACTGAAGATTTATTCAGGTACCTTTGACAGGTCAAATTTAGAGCTTATGTTCGAACATACAAGAAAGCAAAATCCTCATGTGAGGACCTCTTCAAGGCTGAGACTGTGGACAATATGATCTTATTGTTGTCCTGGCACTTCTTAACTGTTCATAACAATACCACCACTAAAACCACAAAAGGCAAGCCATATTTCATTTTTGAAGCCTTGTAACAAGGCCTATTTGGCTTTTGGACAGCTCAACTCCCAGCTTCTTGAGCTCCGTGGGGATATTTCGTATGTTTACCTGCCACTTGACCCTTTTGTACTGTCAGGTCAAGGCAAGATCAAACTGGAACATGATTTTGTTGTAGAACAGCTTCTTTTGGTCAGTTGGAAAGAAATTGTAGGTATACTGGGTTATCACAGAATCATTGCTAGTTCTCGTTATAGCCATGTTACTGAGAAGGAAATGGTAGAAGTAATATTGTCAGACAAGAAATGTTTTTTGCTGGGCTTCATTGGTGAGTTTATCTTTCCTGACAAGGGATATATTCGATGCCCTTCCATGCCATCCCCAACAACTCAAATACCATGATGTGATAGTTAACTTTTCAGAATTGTTAAAAACTAAAAAAAAAAAAAAAAAAAAAAAATAAGTTCATTTATTTTTAAAGATTTTATTTATTTTAGAGACAGGGTATATGCATACAGGGTGTATGGAGAAGGGGCAGAGGGAGAGGGAGAGAAAATCCTAAGCAGGCTCCACAGCCAGCATGGAGCCCAGTGTGGGACTGAATCATATGACCCTGAGATCACGACCTGAGCCAAAATCAAGAGTCAGATGCTTAACTGACTGAACCACCCAGGCACTGCTGAATTTTTTTATTATTTTTATTTTAATTATTTATTTCTTTATTCATGAGAGACCCAGAGAGAGAGAGAGACAGAGAGACAGAGAGGCAGAGACACAGGCAGAGGGAGAAGCAGGCCCCATGCAGGAAGCCGATGTGGGACTTGATCCCGGGTCTCCAGGATCACGCCCTGGGCCGAAGGCAGGTGCTAAACTGCTGAGCCACTCAGGAATCCCCTAATTTTTTTATTTTTAAGTAGGTTTTACACCCAGTGTGGAGCCCAACATGGGGCTTGAACTCATGACCCTGAGATCAAGACCTAGGCTAGGATCAAGAGTCAGAGGCCTAAGTGATTGAGTTACCCAGGTGCCCCTATGATAGTTAATTTTATGCATCAACTTGACTGGGCCACGGAGTGCCCAGATATTTGGTCAACCACTGTTCTGGGAGTTTCTGTAAGGGTGTTTTCAGATGACATCAACACTTAAATCAGTAGATTGAGTAAATAACACATATTGCCCTCCCCAATGTGGGTGGGCCTCATCTAATCAGTTGAAGGCCCAGAAAGAACAAAGGGACTCTTTTCTCAAGTAAGAGAATTTTCCTGCCTGACTGCTTCAAACTGGAGCATTGGCTCTTCCTGGGTTTCCAGTCTGCTACCCTCTGAAAGGACCACTATCAGCCCTCATGGTTCTCAACCCTTCAGACTCAGACTGAAATGAAATCATCAGCTCTCCTTGGTCTACAGTTTGCCAACTCATCCTGAGGATAATGAGACCTGCCCACCTCCATACTTGAATAAACCAATTCTTTATAATAAATTTCTTTACACACACACACACACACACACACACACACACACACACACTCACACTCCTTATTCGTTCTTATTAGAGAACCCTGATACATAGGCCAGGCCTCCTCTTTAATTTTCAAGAGCTCATATCCCAGTACCAACCATGTATCTGCCAGATGAGTTCTATGATGGCCTGGAACCCTAAAATGAGAGGACAAACAACACAAGGCCGCACCAGAAAGTCAGACATGATTTGTCAGCCTTTATTAACCAAGAGCAAAGCCAAGCCCTAGAGTTTCCTTTTAAAAAACCCGACCTTGTTTATGGCAAACAATGATTTAATTATATGTTCAATACTACAGAACAAGAATTGATCACTTTCTAATCACTTATTCTTCTGAGATTAAAATACAAGTGTAAAACGTTTAAAATAAGATTCTCCCCAATGATTAAAAAAACAATTCCAATTGAAAGACATTTCAAACACTATGTGAACTCAGGACCAAAAAAATACCTTAAAACATTTTACCTTTGAGGTAGCACAATAATGCTGAATTAGATTTCTTTTATTACAATGAGCTTATGAAAACAATGAGGAAATCTACCTTTTGCTTAAGGTGGGCTAAATGGTTTTCTGCAAATCCCCCATGAGGTTAGTGACAGTTTTCTCCTTTTTTTTTCTTTTCTTTTCTTTCTTTCTTTTCTTTCTTTCTTTCTTTCTTCTTTCTTTCTTTCTTTCTTTCTTTCCTTTCTTTTCTTTCTTTCTTTTCTTTCTTCTTTCTTTCTTTCTTTCTTTCTTTCTTTCTTTCTTTCTTTCTTTCCTTTCTTTCTTTTTTTTTTTTTTTTATAAAGATAGCCCTGCAGTATGTAAAAGGAAACCCACAGGGAAGGCTGCTTCCCATAAAATAGACATTAGAATCATTGAGGAACGTCAGCAGTCAAGACAGGAGGAACAAGAAGTAATTGTAGTGAAAAACCAAAACAACTTTTATCTTGGCAAGACTGGTTTACAAGTGTATGTCAAGAACAAAAATTCCAAACATCAGCCAACTGAAAACAAAAGATAAAAGATGACATTCATGGGTCTTTTTCCTTTTTCTCTGTGCAAAAATGCTCTTTCACTTTGTCTAAATGAGAGAAGATTGTTTCTACACTGCGACTTCACATGGAGATGCTGTGTGCCCAGGGTGTTGCTGGGCACCAGTGGCACCTCTCATTGACTACCATTGTGAGCATAGAATCTGGGCATTAAGAGGATGAAACATGACTTCTCCTGGCTGGAGAACCATTTCTTGCCACTTTGCTGCTGAATTCATTCATTAAACTGCTCAAAGAAAAGCTGCGCTCTGACTTCTGAGAATCTATAGCAATTCTATGTTAGTCTATCTACTAAGAGGACAGGGCACATGAACCCTTCCTTCAGAGACTACAACCAAAAGAAGAGAGTGGGTGTGATAAACTGGGGCTAGAGGGAAGGAAAATACTGTAGGTTGAACCTCGAGGCTCTCAGGAATATTCTCTACCATCCCAAATCAATAGCAGAGCCAGGAAAGAGGCCATGAAGAAGCCATGAAGCTCTAACCCATGGAAGAGAACAATATAAAACAATTAACAAAGGGATCCCTGTCCAAACACGCTCTTCCCTTTGAAGGCCAACCAATTGGTGCAGGGCTTGCCTGGTATAATGTGGACACTAGAGTCCTCGATCAAACTGGGCCTGCTACCTTTGAGTCCTCATGCTGCAAAAAGAACTGAAACTCTGGCAGACTTCTGGCACCTTGCTAATGGCTTTGTCCTATTTCACTCACACTGGTCCCTTTAAAGTCTTCCTTCCTCAAGCCGGACCCCCAAAGGACCCTGAATGCAGTGAGGATCTGGACTCATGATCCATATGTCAGTCTGTATTTAGAGCAGGAGGACTCAAATCTAGATGAATTCTACTCTGTAAAACAGTAACTATCAGTGAGTTGGGGGCATCAGAGGCTTCTGTGAAGGGGAAGAGTGAACTGGGATGTGTAAGAAGGCAGGATGAGAAGGCCCATGCCTAGCAGCCTGCAGGAGTGACTCTGGCACTAAGCTCACAGCCAGCCCTGACAAATGCTGGCACGGAGGTACAAAGGGGGCATCTGCTCAGTGTTTAAACAGAGTCCACACATAGTCTGAGGTTAGGCCTCTGTGACACTCCTAAAGCTCAATGTACCTGCTGCTTCTGGAAGAAACGGTGTGATTCTTATCTGCTAAAGTACAAGATCTGCTTTCTTAATTTATTTGATGCTAATAAAGCAACACCTTAGAGAAGAACAACCTTGGAAAATCATGGGAAAAAGCCACATGGGCTTTCCCAGTGCTAGCTGCCTGTTTTGGGGTATTAGTTATAACCTTTCACGATTCTGAGAGTTGCAATGCAGGCTACCTAGCTAGGGCAGTCTGAAAAGAGTCCTTCTGCTTTCGCTTCACAGAACACAAGAAAAAGGGAGACTTGACCAAGGTTGTGGTTGAGTCACCACTCTGGAAATCTCTCCACCACATTGTCCATGCTAAAAGCAGAAAACCTGGCTTCTGTGGACAACGGAAGGGACATGTGGGCTCCATCATTATCCTACAACAGGAATGACTCAAACCTCAGCATGTAATCTCTTAGGGATTTATTGAATCACATAAGAAGTAAAAATCATATTGGAAAGGGCCTCTTGATTGAATATAAACTTGGCTACAATATTCAAATTCATCTCTATGCAAACTTCACACTGCTCTTAGGATCTCTTGTAGTATCTGATTCTAAGTCATTCTGAAGAAAAAATTCATTCTGAAATATATCTAGTTAATTAGGATAATTCATCAGAATTTCTACCTGATATTATTAAAAGGTTAAAAAGTTTTAAAATACAAGCTAGGTTACTTTCCTTTGGGGCTAATAGTTAGAACCCCAAATATCACAACACCTTAATTAGAAAGGTCTTTGCAGTAATTCTATGACATTGTGAATGATTCTGATTTTTAAAAACAAAGAGCTGATCTTCAGGATGAATGCCTGAGTCAGTTGACAAACTGACATACATGAACAGGTCCAATGGGAATTCCCAAAATACAGAAATAATTTTTTTTTAATTTCCAAAAAAATAGCTGCATCTTCTTTAAAGAGTTTAAAAATTGATAGTTCAACAGCAAAGCTATGTAACAACACTGGAGTAAAAGGAAAGGGTTCTCTTCTTAGTACAACCTCTTGCCTGGCACACTGCCATTATCAGCTGGTAAGGGCAACTGGAAACGAGATGGCAGGAGTTGTCCAGGGAAGTATTTGGGTCAGATAAAGTGATGGCACCTTCAGACCCTGGCTCCTTAGAAATGGACAGTAATTCATTCATGCAAACTGCACAGAGATTAAGTAAAACAAAACAAAATCTAAAACTAAACAACACAAACCAAAACCCCCAACCCAGAAAACCTTCCCTGGCGCTCTGCTACCTGTAGAATGTGCTGAACCCAAATTTTCTGCTCTAACCAGGGTCCTCATGACCAATCAGTGTGTGCTGGGGTGCTGACCAGCTGGATCCTAGGCAAAGCCTTTCACTAAGCATCACTGTGAGTTTGGAGACAGCTGTCATAGGTGCAGCTGGCAGTGGACAGGACAATGCCACAGGACCACAGACCTCCAGTCTACCTGCCGCCATCTACTGTAAAACCAAAGGCTACAATTGTGAACAAATGTGGATTTTCTCAAAGGACAAACGAATGAGAAGATCAAGGGCTACAATATTTCCTCCCTTGAGAAAGGTCAGGGGTGGGTGTCTACAGTTATACACAGGTTTGTGCAGACCTGTGGTGATTTCCAACAGCAACAGTAGCAGCCAGAGAGGAGAGGAAGATGATTACACTTTGGACTTTGTATCAGGCACTTAAATTGTTGGAGAGACATGCCATTTTGAACCAAAGATGTGACAACTGGGTTGGAATAATCATTACAAGTGGTCTAATAATGGGCTTTCAGAAGCAAAGTGGAGGAGGTGTGGGTTGAACCTCTGCCCATCTTTTAGTGCTGACTTTCAAGTTTTCTAAATGCCCACGGCCGTAGCAGTGGCAGCGGCAACAGCAGGAACAGTTCTGTCGTGTCTGTCTTCTGTGTGTGTTCTGTGGCTGACCGGAAGGTTTTGGTGTCACACTGAGAAGGCTCTGGGGTGTGGCACACCTACTGCCCAGGATCAATCAGATCCATGCTGGAGCCAAACATCTTCACTAGCTGTTCCTCGTAGTGGGAGATGTTCCTCTTCATGATGTCCATGCAGGGCCCCAGAAGCCTCTCAAATGCTTGTACATCCATAACTGCGTTGTTAAAAAAAAGGCACGAGACAGAATGAATTCTCTACACCAGTAAATTCAGTCATTTCCCTCATGCAAACCTTTTCTTAAATATACCCATTCACCTTGGGGAATGAGACTGTGGGATCCTGGGCACTTGGAAAAAAGACAGATGTTTCTATGTGAGTAGCCGGGCTGTGTCATCTGTTTATGACTTTGCAGAGCTGAGCAGCACCTATTCACTTGATCCCTACAGAGCCCTGGACTTCTCTGCCTCTGTTACTGCTCTTCTCACAGGCTATACTCAGTGCTCAGAAATGTTTGCTCAAAGGATATATTCACCCATTTCTAGTTGGCCCCACAGACTGTTCAAGCCTAGAGGTGTGTGAGAACTGGTGAAATGAGTCAAGGCTTACTGATGGGGGAAAAAAAAAGTACTGCGTGTTAGAAAAAAAAAAGTATAAATGCATAAAGAATTTGTTTTTCTTACCTAAGCATTTGACATCTCCCACTGCATAAGCTGAAGCAGCTCTGGGTTTGTTGGTGACCAGTGCAAGCTCTCCAAAGTACTGCCCTTTATGGCAACGGGCAATCTCAACCTCCTGGTTCCCACCATCCTTGTTTGCTTTAGTCTAGAGCAGGTGGAAAACATGACCTAGGCTGATTCTAGAATCACAGCTGGGCATGTCAAGTCACACACACTTGGATTCCCTTCTCAGGACACTTAACACAATTATTAAGAAATTCACTTTGTGGAGACACTAACAGTACCATGTAAACTGCATGGGCTAATTCATCTTAGTGGTCTGATTTAATTAGAAGAGTTGGCTTTTACCTGGGGCTTCATCCAAGTCCCAACACCTTTCAGGTAATGACTAAGTTAGGTAGGGAACAGACCATTTTCTTTGGGAGATTTAGATATATCTTCCAAAGAAAATATATATCCAATTATTATAACATACATTATATATTAGCAAAAAATACATATATATTTTAATATACATTTACACATATTTAATATATATGTGAATGCTCTTCTTTTGGTAGATGCTAACTTGTAAGGCACAAGGGAAAAGCTAATTGCTGCTAAATGATGTCAGCGTTTCTCTTAGGTTAAGGCACAATCCTGGGTTTACTTCTTTTTGATTTGAGACTATGCCTTTCTCAAACAATACAGTGACAAATTTTCTTTTAGGTACAGTGTATATCTTAAGTTAGTGCCCCCCCCCCACATATACATTTTTTTTAGAAGAGGTGAGTAATTAAAAACATTTTTTGATAATTTTCAACCTGGATATTTAGTGATTTAACTCTGTATTAAGAAATCAAGCAGGTTGGAATTTGTAATTTCAATTAGTGAAAATAATGTAGCATATTATATTTAATATCTAATTTCCTTTTTTTAACAAATCCATCTGCTAAGCAATAATTTAAGTAAAAAATTATTTAGAGTTTATTATTAAGAATTAGTCTTAATCTCTAAGAGGCTCTTTAGGTTATAGGCGGTTAATCCTCCTTCCACACTTTTGCCCCAACCTGTCTGCTCTGAAGTTGATCTGCTCCATCAGAGCCAACACTCTTTCCAATTTCTGCAGCATTCTCTGGGGCTGTAGATGTGTTTGTGCCCATCTAGTCCCTTCTTTAGAGTAGCAGTTACCACACTGTCACAGGAACACCAGCTCCCTTGGGGTTTTGTTACAATGTAGATTCTGATTAGTAGGTCTGGGGCAGAGCCCAGGACTGCATTCCTGACAAGTTCCCTCATTCCCTAGGGCCACAGTGCTGCTGGTCCCACATACCCAACACTATGCTGTGATCAGGAGGTGTCAATGAGTATTTGAGAAATGTGCAAACATATATCACTAGTCCAAAAACAACAAGTAAAAGAACAGAGACATTTCAACCTATTGTTTCATGTGAAACAGCAGATCTATTTTTCATCAGGAATCAAGCCATCTTACAGGTGGTAATCATGTTTTTCTTTCTCCATATTTAACTTTTACTAAAGATATTCTGTGAAAGGTTTCATATTAGGTTAGTATTATATTTAGCCATTTTAATAAATTCTACATTCTTAAAAAATTTGGAATAGGGAAATCTGGTGACAATGGATTTATGATAAGGATCACTCCTCCCACCTACAGGTCATCAGTTTTCTAGGCCTCCCTATCCATGAAATGGCTAATATTGGTCCGACAGACCTCCCCACCAGTACTCTAGGAAGGAAGATTTTTTTCATATTCAACACCCATGTGTACACCTTTCTCATGTAATTACCCCACTTTTTACTAAGCTGTGTTTATCTTTGTCTTATTGATTTGTAGGCCAATATTTCTCATATCATTAATTATGTCACAGAGGCAAAGGCTATAGGAATAAGGAGAAATATAATAAATCCCTACCACTGGAGATACTTAAACATGGGTCTTTGCCAGTTCCATAGAACAATGATGGTTTTGTTACACTAGACACATTTCACATTATTGAAAACAAGCAGCTACTTCCTGTGCATGCACCTGGCCTAACTTGTACCATCACATGCAGACTCACCTTGCTTCTGATCAGGATGCTCACCTCACCAGACTCTATAATGTAGAAGCTATCAGCCTTTTCACCCTGGGAAGGGAGAGAAGGTTGTCAGAGCTATACATACATACGTATTGGTGAAAGACACAGAAATAGATCATTATTTCATTGCCCGAGCTCTGATTCGTATTTATTTTCTAACTCTACAAATTAACCAATGGCTAACAAATTCAGTACAAAATGAAAGGATCCTGGTCCCTGGGGATGTCAGTCCAACTATAATACACATCTCTCACTTCCTGACATGGAATATTCACATTTTTCCCCATGGATAATACTTGGGTTGCCAATTATACATAGCATTACTATTGTTGCTGCTCAGGAATCTGTGACTGGGGGGAGCAGCAGCCAAAACTGCTACAGACAATATCAAGGTGACTCCTGGCACGACCAAATGCAGCCCTCCAGAGGACAGTGTGGATCTGGAGAAAGTTCTGCCTTGGTGAGGGAGGTACTATGATGTGGGTTGATGTCACCCTTATGAGCCTCAGGCTTTTCTTTTCCTTGCTTGATTTTTAAACCACTTGGCTGAACCAGTCATTCAGGTAATTCAATGGGTATTTATGAACTTAGTATGTGCCAAAGCACTGTTCTAGGCATGTGAGATGTAAGTGGACAAAACAAATATCCCTACCCTTGTGGAAATTACAGGCTGATAGGGCAAACAAACTGCAAACAATTAACATGATGAATCAGCAAATGATACTATTGTGTTAGAAGGCAATTAAGTACTACTATGGAGAGAAAGTAGAGGAAGGTGGGATCTGGAGTACTGGGGGAAGGAGATGGCTACAGTATACAGCAGAGTTTCATCAAGAGGGTGAGATTTGAGCAAAGGCTGGAATGAGGCAAGAGTTAAGCAGACACAGGAGAAGAGGCTTTCACAAGCTCACTTCAGTCTGACACCTTTCTCTTAACATCTGGAGCAATAACCATCTATACTGGATAATTCAATACTAATCATGTGTCCTCATTCTATGTGGGTCTTATGTCTTCAGAAGAATCTACACTTCTGAATTTTTGTTACGACTTCAACGTCTTTCAACTACCACAGAGAACTCCAAGTGGACACCTTCCAGCTGAGGCTGCCATTCCTCAGTTAGTCTAGTCCCAGTTCACTATGTAATAATCACTGCTCCATGTCAGTAAAAGCCACAGCTTTATAAAGGGGTGCCTGTGGGTTTCTATGCTGCTGTGCTGGGTAGGTACCCTGTACCCAGCAGAGCCAAATCAGCATGAGATTCTAGAGTTACACAAAGAGCTTCCTGACAGAGGTTGCTGAAGGAAACTAAAGGGGAACCAGAGGCACGGTCACCAGGAAGTAGTTTCTAGGTCCAAGAAGGGAGTTTCATAAAGGAAGATGTGATTACCAGTGTTCAGTGTTGCTGGGAGGTCAAGAGTAATAATGATTCAAATGTGTGGAAACATTCTGGTGACCAAGAATGTGAATGGTAGGGATGAGCCACAAAAGTGACAGGTGGTGAAGGTTGAGTGAACTCTTTTTGTTTAGATAGATGTGTAATAGCCTAATTTACAGGGCTCATTTTTCACAGCTGCAGCCTAATAAATTTTCACACATGTATGCACCTGTGTGACCACCCCCTAGATCAAAACAGAAAATCTGGGTGGCCCTAGTGGCTCAGCGGTTTAGTGCCGCCTTTGGCCCAGGGCATGATCCTGGAGACCTGGGATCGGGTCCCATGTCGGGCTCCCTGCGTGGAGCCTGCTTCTCCCTCTGCCTGTGTCTCTGCCTCTCTCATGAATGGATAAATAAAATCTTTAAAAAAACAAACAAACAAAAAACCACAATAGAATATCTTCCTGGCCTTCACCCTATGGAGTGTTTTTCAGTCAAAACCACCACTACTTCACCTATTAGGTAATTGTATCTGACTTCTGTCCTTGCAGTTTTCCTTAACTCCTGTTAAGGAAAGTAAGGCTGTATCTTAACTTCATATAAATGGAATCATACATTGCCTTTTGTGTCTGGCTTCTGCTAGTTCACACTGTGAGACCCACACTTTGAATATGCCTGCCTGTGAAAGGAATGAGAAGCTAGTAGCTGGAGTGAAAACAGAGTGAGTGGAGAAACGTGTGTATTTTGAGGACAAGAGAGACTCAGGCATGTCTACAGGGTGAAAAGAATGAGTGTGAAGAGAATGAGTTTGATGAACAGAGGAGCTCAAATAAAACAGAACCTGCTAATGATGCTGTGTGCTCACTCCCAGCAGGCACTCTGGTGTGAGCTGCGTGTATATTGGTTCACACAATCTCCCAAGAAGATAAACTCAGTACTATTGCCATTGCATTTTGCAGATGAGTTTCCTCAGGAGCTCAGAAGATAACTTTGTCATAGGAGGTAGGGGACATACCAGGTGGAATCAAGAGGATCATCTCTAATCCCCTTAATTTTACTAACTTGCTAATATATCACCAGAAAGGATTATCATAGTTCACAAACAATTTAAGAAAAATTTTAAATAAAACCATGAACGGGGGGATCCCCGGGTGCCTCAGGGGCACCTGCCTTTGGACCAGGGCGTGATCCTGGAGTCCCAGGATCGAGTCCCACATCGGGCTCCCTGCATGGAGCCTGCTTCTCCCTCTGCCTGTGTCTCTGCCTCTCTCTCTTTGTGTGTCTCTTGTGAATAAATAAATAAAATCTTTTAAAATAAGTAAGTAAGTAAGTAAATAAATAAATAAATAAATAAATAAATAAATAAATAAATAAAACTATGAACGATGATAGTATCAGTTGAAAATAGTCTAATTTGGGGGGCTCAGTTGGTTAAGTATCTGCCTTTGGCTCAGGTCATGATTTCTAGGTCCTGAGATTGAGCCCCGCATTGAGCTCCCTGCTCAGAAGACAGTCTGCTTCTCCCTCTCCTCTATTCATCTTGCCCCCATCAGGCTCGCTCTTTCTCTCAAATAAATACATAAAATCTTTTTTAACTAAAAAACTAAAAGAGAAGAAAAAGAAAATAATCTATTTTTGTGGTATCTGAGGGGACATACTGTGTGGCATTTTCAGCCTCATGAAACAGCCTGGTTAGGCTGAGACGGAGATGGGCCAGGACAAGTATTTCCCATCCCCCTCAGGTCCAGTGATGGATAGTGCATGCAAAGCTGGTTGCTCAGACTTTGTAGGATGCCTGTTAGTTTACAGGGGGGACAGAGTAGAATGAGGTATCTACCCAGGAGCTCAATGGAAGAGTGCCCTGCTTTTCAAATTGTCAAGTCCACTAAGATACATCTCACAGAAAGAATATTCCATTCTATATTCTGGAGTAAAAAAGCCAGTAAAAAATATTTAAAATTTTTGTGAACATATCAGGTGTTTCGATAAATAGTTTCTGAATGTCTACAGCAGGTACTGACTAGGTTATCATCCATATGATGAAATTCACTGGGCTTTATATTAAATAAGTGTCTCTTGTTCACAAATGATGATAAAGATCCATATACCACCATAAGAATGACTGAAACTCTAATTCAGGACATGGCGCCTTGTTGGCTTAATGAAATGGTACTTAATGCTGAATACATGAAACTTACTTTTTATGAGGTATAAATTCTGTTCACGTCATTCAGAGAACAGGTAAAATATCCCATCAATTAGGATAAATGCAAAAATTATTAAAACATTACAAAGTACACAAGCATAACATTAAAATGTCATATTCTTTGGCTTTAAAATAAAAATTCTATTTGTAAAATAAAGAATAAAAATTTGTAAGGATGTCATAAGAGAAACTCTGAAGGGGGGCAGCTTGCCAGGGGTTCCCCTGATGGTACACATGGTCTAGACAATACCTAGAGACAGGCTGAGATGCATACTAGCATCCCACCATACCCTGCAATAAGCAGTGGCTTCTGTTCTTTCTGCTGTATTTGGGCCCCAGTTGGACATGTGCATTAAGTAGGGCACCCACTCTCATGCACAATCACATGTAAAGAACAGCTGGGCTGCAGGAAGGAATATGGTGCTAAAGAGTCACAGCAGCCCAAGCACAACTGTCAAGAGGGAGGCAGCAATCTCTAAATGCTGACGATCATCACTGATCTTCAGGGATGTAGGGAAACTTCTAGTTTTAAAATGCTCATAATCGAAAAAGAAGAAAGGCCAGAAAATAAAGGGCTAAGCAACCAACTCAAGAGAGAAAATAACAAAAACAAAGGAGATGAAAGGAAATGAGATAAAGACAGAAAGTAGTGAAACAGAAAATGTTTAATGGGATTAATAAAAGGTGAGAGTTGGTTCTTTTTTTTTTTTAAGAGAAAGTTTATTTATTTATTCAAGGAGAGGGGGGGGGGCAGAGACACAGGCAGAGGGAGAAGCAGGCTCCATGCAGGGAGCCCGACATGGGACTCAATCCTGGGACTCCAGGATCAGGTCCTGGGCTGAAGGCAGCGCTAAACCACTGAGCCACCGGGGCTGCCTGAGAGTTGGTTCTTAAAAAGACTGAAAGAACTGATAAGCCCCTCCTAAGCTTAAGCAAGAAAAAAAAAAAAAAAGAAGGCACAAAACAACATTAGGAATGAAGATAGGAACATCATTCTAGATGCTGTTTATATAGTTAAAAGGTGTTAGAGGGAAAACAACAAAACTAACAGGTGGCCTATGGAATAGGAGAAGATATCTGCAAACAACAGTATCTGATAAAGAGTTAGTAGACAACTGTAAGTTGGAACTACAGTTCCTTACATTCCTGTAAGGAACTTATCAACTCAACACCCAAAAAACAATCCAGTTAAGTAATGAGCAGAAGACATGAATAGATACTTTTCCAAAGCATGAAAAGATGCTCAACATCACTCACAACCAGGGAAATACAAATCAAAACTGTGCTGAGATACCACCTCACACCTGTCAAAATGGCTAAAATCAACAACACAAGACACAGCAGTGTTGGCAAGGATGTGGACAAAGAGGAACCCTCTTGCACTGTTGCTGGGAATGCAAACTGGTGTAGCCACTCTGAGAACAGTTTGGAAGTTCCTTAAAAAGTTAAAAATAGGGCAGCCCAGGT